GTAAAGCAGAGAAACACGAGACGTGAGGAGTGCGGCAAGCACAGGGGAGAGTACAGAGCAGCGAGAGGAGGCGCAGAGCAACACACACACACACACACACACACACACAGAGGAAACGAAAGGAAAACGTTCTCAGAAGTTAACATAAATGACAAGGATGACACCGAGTACACAGGAGCAGGAGGTCATGGGGGAAGTGGTGCAGCCTTTAAGAGGTAAGCATTAGGGAATTTATTGACAGAAGTCATAAACATAGCTAAAAGTTAGATGAATTCATTCCTGCGGTGCTCACAAAGGAAGATGAGAGACAGATGCCAGCAGCAGACATACACTTCCCAGAGGAGAGGGATGAAATGCCGCAGGAAATCAGAAGTGTGCCAAAATAGGTGATCAAGAGATCTAGATCTCCACAGCCGGCCAAGGCTGCTGTCACCTGAGAGCGACCCCTGGCCCGGGCGGAGAGAAGCGAGGGAAATTAACATGCAACAGACAGATGCTGGGCCCTGCATGCAGGAAGGCCTGGCGGACTGGAGCAAGACAGACACAGACCTACACGGGCAGGAAATCCCAACCTGGCTTAGCTGGGGAGGCCTCAGCTATTCCAATAGCAGCCGATGTGTAGAGGTCAGCACTTTCCCCGCCGTCCCCTGCCAGCAGCTCTGGCCACTTCCATGCCGTGCAGGCCACTTGTCACCTTCCCCCAGAACAGCCCAACCCCATCTATTCTGAATGCTCTTCAAGCTGCACTTTCCCCGTCATCCCCTGCTCTGACCCTTCCTTTCTGGATGGCGCAGCACCTGCAGAAAGCAGTCTTATCTGGAAGATGTGGCAGCTTATTCACCCACATTTCTCTTTCTGTTACCATTGCACAGACAATCTTAACTTTCCATGCCGAAAGCCAAGTCCATCTATGCTTCCGAAATTGGCACAAAGTCTTCGGGTTGGTAAACATCTGTGTCTAAAGGGAAACAGGTCCTGGCTGTGACGAAATGAAGGCCACTGGTGCTGCTTGGCAAACAAGGAGTGATAGAGGGAAGCCCCGCCTTCCTTCTACATGCACTCCACTGTGATGAGGTGCTCTGACCCTCATTTTTTGGTGGCATGGTTGTCACTCCCATGGGACTAGGGATCAGGGTTGCCCCGGGACCCCAGCCATCCTGGTTTCCTGACTCCGCCCCAGCCTCCTTTCCTAGCTGTCTCTGCCATCTCGGTGCTTCCTCAGGGCTGCCTCCACCAGGAGTCCTGCCCGGCCTACCCGCGTCACCCCAGCCCCTAACACAGCCCCTGTCCCTCACACCTCTCTGCCACAGTGACTTACACACACTCCTGCCCTAAGGCCGGCCATGCTACTTCTTCCAGATGACGTCCCAGAACCCAGCTACGTGGCAGTGAAGCGCGTTCTCTTTGAAGGTTTGCTATATAGGGGGTGCCAAAAACATGTATACACATGACTTGTATTCACCTTTTGTTATCGGTATCTATTGAGTATTGCAGTTTTAATACAGTTTTTTCCTTTCTTAAAATATGTATACATGTTTTTGGCACCTTCTGTATATGCTTGATGCCCAGTGAAATTCAGCTTTTTTGTGCCTTCTTGTATGCTCTGAGAATGATACAATTTATGAATCCTGCTTTATGATCCTGGTCACTATTTATTTTATGACTTAAGATGTTTCACAGTTGGCAACACTACATCGAAGCTTCTTTTCCTGATCAATAGCTGACTCACTAAGGCAGCCGAGCGAGCTGTTCCTCGGCCTAATTTGACAGATCACCAGTTGGTGACTGACCAGCAAACCCATTCCAACTGGCGGGTCCAGTCTGCAAACTAACTGGTCCCAGGTGGCTGGGGCTCCCTGCACATACAGTTTTGGGACACTCATCAGAGGAGGGAAGACCTTGCACTCCAACTTTAGAGGTCTGTAATGGGGATTACTCTTGTCTGGTCATGAGGTGATGGGTTGGGGACCGAGCTGGAGGAAGGCCCTGATCAGACTCACTCCAGAGCTTCTCAGCCTTCTCTGACTTAAGGATTCCTTCTGTTGTAATATATAGCTGCAGAGCCCCATTTAGGAATTAAAGAAAAATTTGGTCTTTTAAAAATTTTAATTTATTTATTTTATTATTACTATTTTTTTAGGAGGGCGCAGCTCACAGTGGCCCACATGGGGATTGAACCAGCAACCTTGGCATTACTAGCACCACGCTCTAACCAGCTGCGCTAACCCGCCACCCCTGGTCTTTTTTTTGTTTGTTTGGATGCTTTCACATAAGAAACAAGTGACTGCAAATGAAAAATATTTCACGTTCGCTTGATATATTGTTATGTAAAAGTAAATTTAAATTGTTTTCTAATTTAATAATATACACATAATTAATTTAACATAAGTTTAAGTGGTAAGAAAAATTGGGATTTATTGGAAAAATTAAAAAAATACGATGTTTGGTTTGGGGATCACATAGTTGTATGTATTAAAAATGAAGAATCAGGACTGGCCGAGTGGCACGTTGGTTAAGAGCT